CTACTGGTCGTCAAATCAAATATGTAAATTCGAAATTAATATTCAGCGCGTCGTTTTGTTCGGGGCGGTGCCGAAAAAAATACACAACTAACACTGTATTCGGCTGTTTGTTATGTCCCTAAAAAATAAACCTCTTACAAGGTCACGGCGACATATTGGCCAGGCCAGACGAATCAGACCTGATTGTCTATTCGAATTACTACGTAGTGTTTCTTAGTCGGGTGTAATTTGATCCGGGGACATCGCCACGAGGCAATATTATTGTTGTCACTAAAACACGGCAGCAATAGTCGGATCGGTGGCTGCCAATATAAAGATTGAACTGTCTGACCTTTCCAGTTAAGGTCACCAGACACACTGATTTGTGCAAAGACTTTAAATGAAATATACCGTGAAAAAATAATTAGCTGTGACATTTCCCATAGTAGGGGGAACTCAACAGGTGTTATACCGGCGACTAAAATTGGCGCGTCAATGATATGCTGAAAAAGTAACATTGAAAGTGAGTATTATGGAAACCCCAGTGCAATAAATCAATCAAAAAAGGTCATAGGTTGCAGTGGTGCTTCATAGTATTATTTTTAGTGTTTTATTTACTGCCCAGGAGGGCGTTGAGAAATGTCCACGGCACAATGACAAGCGACCGAACGTTATGGGTACGCGTACAATACCCGATTAACGTACGCGTGTGTGTGTTGTATTGTTACCATTTGACTAAAGGCTGTTTATTTAAAATATCGCTGTCGAGATGTATCTGGAGTCTGTCAGATGCGGTCTGCTCACAGACTGTCGGCCTTGAAGGGTCACGAACCAACGGAAACAATGCCTAGCTCCATCATCCGACAAAGCATCGAAAGTGTCCCTTTTTTAAAACAGCTAAGGGTCAAACGAAGCGAATGAAATAGGGCAGTGGCTTACACAAATTTAATTTCATTGGTATTACGCATTTCCTGAGTTGGCACGCGACCAGGGTAAAGAGGGTCGTCGTTTACCACACGTTTAGAACACCGCTGTTGTGTCATTGTCAACGCATGACACTTTTTTCCCTTTTGTAAGTTGGTAGCCGGTCTCAGAGGTTGATGACTTGGACAACCAAATTAAAACAGACCCCGCTTGTCAACAACATCTATACAAGACAGGTACATCGGGTAAAACATTAAAGTAACTGTGGTCAATTTGAGGGTCAGTCGAGCCGAAAGCAAAGACGGCTCTTCAGAAGAAGATCGGTACACTTTCTGTGAAGAAGGAGACAATGGTGGGTGGTCGTTAAACCGCTCTTTGTGTCAGTACGTTTGAAAGTCAGCGAAAGTAATGACATCAAACGTAAGACCGGAGCGGCTAATAGTTCACCGAGTCTACTAAGAGTGAAATGAATCTAAAATAAACAAATAGCGGCATTCTAGGGGACGAAATGACAAACAGGAAGTTGAAAGAATACCATATCAACTTACAGATACTACAACGAAGTGATTTGAGATTCCCATATATAACTGTACAGACACTGACAAACACTTATACTACTGGAAAACGTTATTATATTTCAATCAAAAATAAGTTTTATTTTTTATAAACAGTAAAAACCTTTCGTTATTTCCCGCTTCCCCAAAATATTTAAATATATGCATAAACAACAAGTTGATAGTCATAACATAAAAACCACTAGACGCATTTGTTAAAAATTACTATTCTTTTTCTATAACATAAAGCACGCGCACGCTTTTGGGCGGAAACAAAACTGAAAAAAAAGTTGTTGCTTTTCTACAAAAGCACTAAAAATCATGACTGGTTTGATCTTAACTGATTGATTGATTATCGATTAAAAATCAGTAAATCTTTTAAATGATTATCTTCAACTAGAACAGATTATGAAACCATTGAATAAACAGCTAAACAAATCTAAGTAATACAATAATTTACATTTGAAATCATTGTTTACATAAGAAAAGAACAATATATCGTGTCAGCCACGATTTAAACTAGTTTTTTTTAACAAACAAATCAGGAAAATAGAAAACATCATAGAAAAGTCTGGGAAACAATGTTGTAAAAAAAACATTGTTGACTCAGGCAGTATCTCTGAAGGGCAGGTCGGTTAGTGGTGAAGATACACTGGTTATTGCTGATGGTGTCAGCGTTGTCATCAACAAATCAGGAAGCAATTATAATACACAGAAACTAATAATAATTAATTTAATGTGAAGGATTAAAAGACATTCGAAACAGTATTTTCCAGCAACGTATTTTCGACTAGTATTAGATGCGGGTTATATAATGTGACTGCGTTCCTGAAACATTTGTGTTGGAGCAACACATCTCCTGAAATTAACACTGTTTGAAAGATAAACGTGCCCCTGATCGTTCTTACAAGTCAAATACGTGCAACTATAACAAAAACAACAACAGACAAAAATGTGCGTATTGATGAAATCAGCTGTGTGAGCTTATATTTGGTTCAAGGTACTCCTGACATATGTGAATTTCACTTGTTTCATTAAGTATTGACGCTTGGACAATGTAAAATAACTGTACACGAAGAATTTAAATGGACCTTTAACTTGAACTTAAGTTTTAAAAGCAACATGGCCAGAATAATAAAATTGTGATCGCGGTGATGTTTGGCTCATTGCCAAGGCACACAAAACACGAATAGCACAGTTGCTATGACCTGACTACACGTAAAATATCTCCGGTAGTTTCAACAAACACAGTATCCTCTATTGTGTCCCATAGATAATATGCTTTCCAAACATTATTGACAAAAATAATGTCAGCCTGAGACATCTATACAGTTTTGAAATCGTTTTTTGGTCGTACATTTGCAGGCGACAGTTTGAAATATTGTGATCAACGACATGTAATATTTTGTGGAAATCTTGAATGGACCCATATGTATATGTGAAATAAACGTTATTCGTTATTAGCAGCACTCCCCGACCCCGCATGATTCAAATTCAACCCCACAAACAGAGTTCTCCTTGTTCATTTTGTGGAACCATGGATGATAACATGTTCGTAGACATCGTTGGCGGATCGTAGGGTGAGGCAGATGTTGTCGCCAAATAGGGAGGAGTAACAACACCAGCGCCTATATCTGTTGCTGGTAGACCTTCGTAGGGCGGCAGAGCGGTCACTGTCATTAAGAAAGTCGGATCACTGACTGCGACCTCGGCGTCTTCTGCGGCAGTTGGTGCTATCCGGGGCGATGTTAGCATTTCGTCGAACGGTGAAATGGGTGGAGACATCAACACAGGTGAATCGGTGATCATTGTCTGCTCTGCGTTGAATGTTTGAACTTGAAAATCATGTACATACGTCAAACTACACATGGATAGATGTACCTCTAGATGATGCGATAGATGATTCTTCTCTTTCTCCAGTCTAGCGATTTCCCTTCTTAGTTCCCGATTCACGCTGGTCAATCGCTTTGTCTCCTGCAACAATACAAACGTAATATGGATAAAGTATTCTGTCCTGGGGGTAAGGAGATGACAGCTGTCTGTCTTTGATATACGATGTAATCATTAGAGACGTAATTGAACTTATTGATTCGCCATTCCATCAACTGTTTTGGATGCTATTATATGTCAATCAAATGTCCACTATTGCAATTCCATATAATTAGAGCAGAAACAACAATGAAAAACGGAGCTTGTGGAACATAAAAATGGCTGTTTGCATACAATAGAAACGGCGTTTCTTTGTTTTCTGTTGTATAAAAAGTAAAACCAGTCAGCGATGACGAACAAGTCGCCAAACCAAACTTTCTTGCTTTAAACAACTTAAAGGGCCCCTCAGAGGCCAACAAGTAGAACCCGAAAACAAAGAAAAAAATCAGACAGACCGCGCAGTCGAAAAGTCGACGGCACAGACATTTGTGTTCTACTGGTCAGATGATAGAAGAGTCGCGACGCTCTTGGAACGAAGCCACAAACAATTGAAACCAAGGCCACATACAACTTACATCTTCTAGCAATTCGGACTTGGCTCGTTTTTTATAACGACACTTAGCCGCCGCAATGCGGTTTCTTTCCCGGCGGTCGTCTTTTTTCTTCTTTTCGGCTGGAGTCAACTGAAATCGGATACGAATTGGAATAAGATTAACATGCATCTAAGTACTAGTAAATTGGTTACAAATAACGACTTAAAATAACTGTTTACTGACAAAAAAATATCTTTGTGGATTTGACTTAATTTGCGTAGCATGAGGTTTTAATGTTTGATGTTAAGTTACAGGAAATGCGTAAACATGAATGATTTCTTTTTTCAAATGCAGCAGCGCCATTATCAACATGGCTTCGACTGTACTCGGACAGCCGTAGTTGTGGCCCTGTCGCCTACTGGTGTGACAGAAAACTGATTTTTAATCTACTCGTCTGACGTGTTCTGGGTCGTATTTTGTTGCAAGTCGCTATATTGGGACCGGCAGTGTACACCAAATGAAAATGACGACCGATCAATGAGAGGGACGTGAATCACAACTAAGTAGCCTGTCCGACCACGCGAATCACGAGCCACCCTCGGTGGTTTGTTTGGTGATTAAACAATTAAACTACTAATACAATTTATCCGACTATTATATCAAAAAGGAAAATGTGTCGAGCTCATGGGTTGTACTAAAGTTTCAACTGTACGCAATACAGCTAAATTTGTTTACCTCGCCTGTGCGGAACTAGACACGCTTCTCAGAGTTCAGTACGTATTTTGTCTTGTATATAGTGTACCCCCTCAACTATTGTCTATTTAATGATACTAATACTCTACTTTAGGGCAAGTGCCCTATAGTATGGAAACACATAATATTATATACTAGTATTAAGGTAAATCAAACAAAATATAAAAACAAAGTGTTTTTTTCTTAAATTAATTCTCATATCTCCTATCACAAGGTCAATACAATTTCATCGTCAATATTAACAAAGCTACGATGACGAATATTATTTTTTGATTCACCCCCTAAAAATTCATTCTTGTATGCGCACCTTGTCGGGAACTACCTCTCTGGGTTCTACTTTCAAATCGTCAAGTCCCCTGGCTCTTCGCTTTGCGTTGATTGCATACTTCAGCCCATCTTTGATCAGCGGCATTATATCAATGGGGCGGTTGTCGGTGGTCGGGGCACATTCCCTGGATAAGTAGGAGTCCTCGGCAAACTCAGCCACATAGTCGAAATCCGTGGATGTCGCTTGGTCCGTGTAACTGTTCATTTTAGGTTTGATCTCAACACTAGCAGCGAAAATATGCGATTACTGTAGTAGCCTCCACTAGACTCAGCAAGTACCCTGGATGAAAGCGGCAGTCTGCAAGTCACAATAAATAACGAATGAGTCACGGGGCAGTTTTCTGAAAGTCACCAACTCTCTTCCAACAAGTAGAGACACATCGGATTTTCTTTGCTATCGTGGTAAATTTACTAATGTCTGACCACGAGGCCAGTTTCTTCAACTTTTTGCAAAATATACTGACGTAAACAGTTTTAGTTCATTCAAGGGTGCCGGGGCCCCTGCAATAAACATCCGTTTCATGCAAACAATGAATCGTGTTTTCTCGTTTCAGTTTTACCAATTTCAGCTATGCATGATAATTTAGATTATCTACCAATAGTATATATACATGTATAATGCATACAAATTACGTAAAATTACTCTAAAATTGCATTAAGCTTCGTCACTGCGAAACGGGGATTTCCCCCTTCGACCGACTGGTATGGGGGCTCAGAGTCGTACTGCCAATAACAATATTTTATCTTCGAAAATACAACGTTGACAATTCCAGTGAAAAAATGAACTAGTACACGATAAATTTACTGTAAAATACAAGACGATCAAAATTAGTAAATACACCGTGTTTTGAGAACGTCGTAGTCGAGACTGAGCGCCTTTAGTACACCCGGAGACTGGACCGTGAAATGAGTGTTACGATCGGGCCGTCTGATTCAACGCAGACAATCTTTTTCCGTGACACAGACTCACTGCGACGCATGTTTTTTCAACAACGAAATGTCAGCACATCTCTATATTGCGAAAAAAATGATTTTTGCAATTTCTTACCTGCTTATTTAAAGGGCCCGAGCAGCAGCAATGCCCACACGTGTATGTTTGTTATGAAGACTCTAAACATGTCAGTACACGAAACAAGTTGGCGCATGCGCATTTTGCCACAGAGTCGCTACACCATGTCAATGTTTATGCAAATATCAATACTTTTCAATGAAAAAGAACAATGGATATCACTAAAATTAGGTATGATAGCATAATAAAGCCGGAATACACATCTGTACCACTTGCGATTTGAGATATTAAAGCAATAACACGCACCATGAAGTAATACTATTTGAAATGTAGGTTAGGTTAATACAAATGATAAATCTGGGGACATGTTTTATTTAACCACATATAATTTGCAAGTATAATTACGTGATTCACTGAAAAGTACTTATTCGCACAGTAACGCCCATGTATAATATGTGACCGACACAATCGTGGCGTTCTGGCAACAATGACGTCATTTTCTATTTAAAGCGTTCGTGTTGGAACACGCATTGCAAGAGGGCGCTGTCTTGTCTGCGACATCGGTGAGCGTTTTGTAAATTTGGAAACATGTTCAGAACACGTTTATGATCGTACTGATAAACGATATCATGAACCAGATTTACCAATGGTGAATAAGAAGTCGGTTTCTAGAAAAGTGGTAGCCTTGCAGTTTATCAGTCTGCTATGTATGACACTCAGGAGTAATGTCAATCTGAATAAAATAAGATCCTGGTTGGCTAAATTTGTTTATTTTTAATTTTAATATATTTTTAATATTATTATTATTATTATTATTATTATTATTATTATTATTATTATTATTATTATTATTATTATTATTATTATTAT